GGGGGGTTAAAGGTCACTTGTAATAAGTATCAGCTCTCTTCTTATTGTTATTAAAAAAACAGGCACAGCCAAAATTGTCAAAACACTGGCTGGTCTTATAGAACAGATACAAGTTTTAACCAAAAAGCTTAAGTATTTGTTAAATATCGGCGCAGGATGTATGCCGTTCTTAATATTGCCGCTTTTTCGTAGCTCTGATGGTGTGATTTCTGAGATCTGCCACTGCTTATAATATTTAATGTTGTTCTCAAAGCCCCAATGACTATGGGGACCACTGAAGTGTGTTTCATAATTAATTTATTAGTAGCAGTAGTGTTAGTAGTATTAGAGTAGTAGTTACTATTATTACTGCTACTAGTAGCAGCAGTATTATTATTAGTATTATTGGTTATTAGTATTACAGACCCAAAAAAGTCAGTCTTCCCCTCCTCTGGAGCCCACCCCATTGAATTGGGTCCCCCCCCTCCTCTTTAGTTAACTGACCAGATCATTCAGCTGCAAACCTTATTCCGTTTGTGATAACTGTAAGATGAGTGGCAGTTCTCCCCAACTTCATTCATTCTCCTCCCAAATACAGTACTCCATTTGGGGTATTTGTGAATGTATTTTGCAAATGTATTTTGTTGCTGTTGTATCATGTTGGAATTTTGTAAGGAGTTTATATGGCGTTTTAGCTGAATGAGTAATGCACTGTCTGGATAGCACTCTGGTGATTTCTTTGCACATGCAATGACAATAAGGTGTTGTTCTGTTCTATTCTGTTTGGGGGCTTAGTGAAGGAGAGATAATGTCACTGATTTCTCAACGGCTTCCATTCGTAAGTGCTTCCGGCTTTCTGTTCCCTGAACTAAAGTCTTGGTGCAGGACTGAGACACACACACACCCGCGCCGTCAAAGCCATATTTAGCCGCCTGACGTGCCAGGTTGATGGTTTAATCTCATCTTGGTGAAAGACCAGCTAAGATCCGGTTGGTGTTTTGATGAATTAAGAAATCATCTCCCAACATCTTTCATTGAGCAATCTGCAAACTGAGCAAAATACCAACTCAAATTCACTTTGGGTTTACAATGTCCAGTGAAAATTCTTCACTGGTCCCTTTTTCCGGATCGTCAGATAATGTTCTTGAGTTCGTTGGAGTCACCTTGCCCCTTATTCCCTTGCTTCATATCGTTCACGATCAAGGCTAAAACCCCTGTCTGGCTTTCTCACACAGGCCGTCTGGGAGCAAAGGAGGGCATGTCTGGGCTCCTGAAGGATCAACCGCTTTTAAATGTCTAATCTCAGCCAGATTCTGCGCTGCCCTCCTGAGCAACATATCCGACTGCGATGAAACCTTCAATTACTGGGAACCTGTGAGTGCTGTTGTGAGGGGATGTGAAATACCTTGCTGGGTGTGAGTGGGCAACGGGTAAACGGTTAAGCCACAATCTTCGTCCCTGCTGGATCTGAGTGTTAATGAGAGACCAACTACACGGTCTAGTACGATGAACCCACAAATGCTCATTTTCCCTGCACGGCTAGTCAAAATCCTTTAATCCTCTTCTTGATCAAACTTTGTCCATAACTGGGCTACACTTCCCCCTTAAATTGCATGGGTCTGAGCAGCACCGTTTTGGTTATACATGGATTTTGAACTAGATGGGAGTCCAGCGCCCCTAATCCCAGCATTGCTGAAGGGAGATGTTCACCAGATGTTCTGCATCAGATGGACTGGGCTGCCGTGCGTGGACACTTTTACTAGATAAAACATGTTAGTCTTTGTTGTTTTTGCTGCAGTAGAATAGCATTGCCACAGAAAATTTCCAGCCTGTACTTTACTATTCTTATACTTGTGTATGTGTGTGTGTGTGTGTATGTTGTTGAAGCACTAGTCAGGTCATTTTTCTGACCCATACGTCTGTGTTCCTGCAGATGCATTACCTCGTTTATGGTCAAGGCTTCCAGACATGGGAGTATTCTCCGAGGTATGCCATCCGTTCGTATGCCTACCTATGGCTCCATGCCCTACCAGCCTTGTTCCATGCCAGGGTCCTGCAAACAAACAAGGTAAGAGGCATAGCTTGACTTCATCTTTGGGTTGCGTGGAGCTTGAGGACCTCACACGGGGGTGGGTGGGTCCCTGGGTTTTCCTTTCCAAATAGTTCCAACCCCCTGCCCAAAAGTCTCAAGAACCCTTGGGCTGAGAAGCAGCTAAGGATGTTTCTCCCCCCCCTCCCCGATTCCAGGCCCAATCTGAGAGTCACTGCGGATGGGTGGATGTAATACGGTGTGTTGCCAAAAGTGTTCTAACTGCTACCATCCCTCCTAGGTTCTCATCTTCTATTTCCTCCGCTGTCTTTTGGCCTTCCTGAGCTGTGTTTGTGAGCTTTACTTTTATAAGTGAGTACACGGAATGCTTCTTCTCTTATGGTTGTGAAGGTCGTGTCATAATACGGCCCAGTGCCACGGACAGGTATCTCATCCCCTGGGCGTCTCAGAAAGCACCGTAGGGTCATCCCATGGGGAACGACTAGGCCAAGTTCTATATCTTCACACCTCTGGCATGTTTTGCACATTTTATGTCACAAGCCACCCTGAAGGCCTGGTTTCGTTCCTTGGTTTCCCCAGACAATGAGACAGAATAAACTAAAGGTTAACGACAGTGCAAAGTGGTCTTGGAGAAGGACAGGCAAGCCACTCAGAGTGGGCATCCCAGGCCCCTGCGGCATCTGGTTGCGCTCCGTATGCCCCTCTGGGTGAAGGGCTGAGGCCGGGAGGCAGGAGACTGTAGGAAACCGAGGCATGGCCTACAGGGAGCAGAGGCAAGAAGAATGGGCTAGAGACGTTTCCAGAGGATTGATGGTGAGCAAGGACACAAGACTGGGAGGGGGCAAGAAACAGCAGCTGGTGTTACAGCCTCTCCCAGACTCCTCCCCAATTCCTTCAGGGGTAGGAAAGAGTCATTTCCTACCCCTGAATGCTCTAGATTGGGCCTCAAGACCACCCAAAAAGACTTCAAGTGGAATTCAGGAAACCGGAGTGGCTATCAGTAAATTATGATTTGTTTCCTGAGATGAATCCAGTATAGGGTGGTCCACAGGGCAGAATCTTCTTGCTTTGCCCTCCAGAATCACCCGCTTCCGTATAATCTGTTGCCATTAGATCGGTGTGCTAGTAGCTGGGATTGTAGTATAAAACTGGCCAGGCTGCTTGTTGTGTTTTGTATCACCACAGCCGCTTGGAGAAGGCCTGAGGGCTATAACTTAGGAAGCCATCTTATGCTTTCCATCAACTCCGATGGGTAGCAGCTCTTCCAGAACATTCCTAGACACCTCTGATTCTTTTAATGTGGATACGATCCTAGACATGTCCTATCTGCCCCTGAGTTGTAGGGGCCCTCTTGAGATGCTGCTGCCTTCAGCTGAGTCCTCGCTCCCTCCAGCCCAAGGCTGCCTCTTCCACTGTGACTTCCATTGACTCCCACGTGCTCTGGACTGTCCTGATTCTTCTCCCCGCTCTGCTTCCTTAGGGCCGTGTGCAAGAAATTTGGACTGCACGTGAGCCGTCTCATGTTGGCTTTCTTGGTCCTCAGTACCGGCATGTTTTGCTCAGCAGCTGGTAAGTTAAAAAGCAACGTCAGCACAGATCAGTTTGACCTTGGAATCCATTGAGCAAGGAGGTTTTTCTCGAATGGGTGGTGGTTTGCTAGGGCTTGGGTCGCAGAGAGTTTGAGACATTCGCTCAGGAATGGGGAGGAGAAGACAAGTGTGGGAGCACCTCTTCTCTGCTGCCCGGGTGACTTTTCTCCCCCTTTTCCTCCCAGGTCCTTCTATGGGGTGCCGGAGATTCAGTAAATGTGGCATGCCTTTCTGAAGCTTTCTTTTTTCTTTTCTTTCCTGGGGTGGGCTAGGAATCCCTGCCCTGTTTCTCTCCCCCCACCCCCACCCCCAGGATGAAAAGAGAAGGTTCATTACAAAAAAATTTCAGTGATGATAGCAGGAAAGCAGATCATAGTCACCAAGTGCCTAAGAAATGCCTTTTCCAGTGGAAAAATTCCCAAAGTCTTGCTGATTCAGAGCTTGGATCAGTCGGCCGGAGGCTTTGGGAGCAGCAGTTGGAAAAACATGAAATATTTTTGAGCTGTGTGCTGCTCCCTTACCTCTGTCCCATTTGGAAGTTACCCTCTGAGCCATCTCATTTTAAGGGAGACAGCTGGTCCTTCTAAATCCAGGGTTGTTTCCTCTGTTCTGTCTGGCACTGAGAGTTCTTTCTTACCGCTCACAACTGCAGAGGCGGAGGACTGAACCGGCGTGCCCTCAGCCCCTGAGCTGAAGTCCCTTCCCTTCTCTGCATGTTGGTCGGTCTGGGCTGAGAAAACACCCCCTTGCCTCCCAGCCCTTCCATACAGCCTCCCGCAGCCTGTGGGGCCCTGCAGGGGCTCCCTCTTTCTCCCAGATCCTAACTCCTTTCTGCTTCTTGTTGTTTTTCAGCCTTCCTCCCCAGCAGTTTCTGCATGTACAGCACCGTGGTAGCCATGACCGGGTGGTACATGGACAAAATCTCTCTGGCCGTCCTGGGCGTGGCTGCTGGAGCCATCGTGGGCTGGCCTTTCAGTGCGGTCCTTGGGTAAGCTAAAAGGAGGCCAGCTTCGGTCAAGGGCCAGATTCACCAGAAAGGTGGTGGAAAGAGAGAACGGCCCCACCCAGACCTGGTCAGTTCATGGCCAGGTGGCCGTCGCTCTCTTCAGAAGGCGCAGTCTGTCCGTCTTTCCTGGGGAGGTGGTTGCAGAGAAGGGCTCCAAGAATATGCGGAGCCCTTTCTTTCTTTCTTTCTTTCTTACTTTCTTTCTTTCTTTCTTTCTTACTTTCTTTCTTTCTTTCTTTCTTTTTCACCCCCGACTATCTGGTCAATTACGACCACTCTAGGCGGTCTTTGAGACCAAAGAGGACTTCCAGAGGCTCTGGTGAACCGGGAGTGCTCCCCAAACACCAGGGTGACATTATTTTTCAAGTCAGGAAAAGTTGACCTTCGTGTCAAGTTGCCATCTTGTGATTTGCAGAACTCTGAGCCAAGAACTAGGAAGGCTGCTAGGGCAGGAAAGATCTTAGGATGCTGTTCTAATGCTAACATGCATATATATAAAAAAACTAATAATATTTCAGTAATAATATTGCAAATGGGAATAATTCCCATGGGAACAGGAAGCTCCTAATTTCCCTCTCTTACTGGAGATATAAGATTCTTTTTTTTACTTCCCTTGCCTTCCTTGCAAGTTATTGGAGTGCTTTTTGTTGTGTATTTGCCAAGACTTTTCTGGGTCCTGTGAAGTCACTCCCACCCTCTAATACTTTCTGGTTTTCTATTCCTTTTGCTTCTCTGCATTCCATGGTTGCTTCTGCATTCCCACAATGTCTCAATTTCACTTCCTCGATGAGAGAAGAGCCTTGCATAATTTAGATACAGATAGTTGGCAGGACGGAGCAGAAGCCTCCCGTGGGCCGCTTGGGAGCAGTGTGCTCCTGAGAGTTACACCCTTTTTTTGGGGGGGGGGAGAAGCACATCCCAAGTTTATTGCTCTGAAATACCACCTTTCATCTTCTCGCTGCTAGGCTTCCGATTGCCTTTGACTTCCTGATCCTGAGAAGAAAATGGAAGAGCTTCTTGCGGTGGTGTCTGGTGGCGCTCGTGGTCTTTCTGGTGAGTTTCCCCCAAGAGGGAAGCATCAAGTGGCCAAGCTCTTCTGTAAGGGTCGGTGTGCTTTCTCAGGTGCCAGTACACCCCTTCCCTCACCTGTGCACCTCCATCACGCACAGTCAGGTAACTGCAGAGGTCCCTGGTGATTCTGCATCAGTCTTCTTGAACGTTGCTTTCTGGGCAGAAAAGGGTTTCTTCTCCGACGATGAGCAGCTCTGTGGGAAAGTCGAAAGAGTTTAGCCGTCACCCCACTGTGTCTGCCTTCCCTCAGGAAGAGCAGGAGTAAAAACGTGTTAGGGGTTTCTTAGACCATTGGGGTTTGGCAGCTGTTTGGTGGTTTTAAAAGCTCAAGCAAGAGAGGTGATGGAAAGACCAGGTGGAGACACCCAGGAGCCGAGAACAGTCGGTGAACAACCCTCACGCACAGACGGCCAGGAGGGTCAGCCTGTACCTTACAGGCCGGAAAAAAGTACACCTCTGCCACTCACAACGCACGGATCTTGTCTGGTTTTGGAAGCTAAGCAGGGCTAGGCCTGGTTTAGTACCTGGATCGGGGGTCGTTCAGGGGAATATCGGGGATCTCCTGATAGGGCTGGGAGGACCGCCTGCCTGCAACCCGACCCAAGCTGTTTCTGAGGCTAGATGGGCCGAGACTCTGACGCAGCCCGAGATGAGGAGGGAGGGATGGGGCTAGAGACGCTAAGAGGGCGGCTGGACGTGCGGTTGACCTTTTGCCCGAAGGTAGCGCACACCGGGAGGGCACCCCAAGGTGGCACAAGTGTTGCGGAAAGGAGACAGGTGCGTACGTGCGCACATGAGGTGGGAATGCATGTCTAGTCATGCCTCCGCCCTGACCTACATTCAGGTCACTCTTACCCTTGGTTCACAAATGCAGAGAAATTCAAGGGCTGACCTGACCGGGCCTTGACTGGAGTGTGCGCTTGACCTATGACAAGTGTGCTCCTTGTGTTGAAGGTTCCCCTGGTGGCCGTGGACAGTTATCACTACGGGAAACTGGTGGTTGCGCCTCTCAACATCGTCCTGTATAATGTCTTTACATCACACGGGCCAGACCTTTATGGTGAGTCCTCCTGAAGGGACAGGCTGAATGTGCTTTTACTGTCATTTTTGTTGTGTGTTATGATTGTAAGCCACTTTGAGCACTGTCTGGTAGTGGAAAAGCAGGATATAAGTGCAATTAAGCTAAATAAGACGGGAAAACGTTTTCAGATGGCATGTACGAAGAGACTGACTGTATGAGTTGCTCTGCCAAAGCGATGCAGGCTCTGGAAGGTTGAGGTGCAGAAAGAAACATACATGAGACAAGCTTGGACAAGGAGCTAAATTAAACCAAAGCTTTAACTTAAATGTTGAACAAGAGAATCAACTGTACATTTTCAAACAACAGCAAAGCACGCACACATTAAAAGCTAAATGGAATAAAAACTTCACCCCACACATACCTAACACCTATGCAAAGATGGGATCAGGCTCCATTCTGTAAAGAGGCAATTCCAGAACTGGGGTGCTCTCTGTGTTGCCACCGACCTTTCCTCTCGGTGGTAGGACAGAATTATTTCTCGCACTCACCCCACCCCATCGGCTGATGTTCCCCAAGCTGCTCTGCCCGGAGGCCGCTGCCGGAGCTGCTGATGCAGGTGGGCCACCAACGGTGCTCGGAAGGGAAAGCATGAGGCTGATGAGTTTTTTGGGAAGAGGGGCCCCTTCTTTGTCTCCGACTGTGCTTTTGTGCCAGGCCAGTGGCTGGTCTCGGGGATGGTGCTGGAGGCTGTCTCTTCTCAACTGGCCTCTTTCCTCCCGTAGGGACGGAACCCTGGTCTTTCTACTTCGTCAACGGCTTTCTGAACTTCAACGTGGCTTTCGTGCTGGCCCTCCTGGCCTTACCTTTGACGTCCCTCATGGAAAGCCTGCTGCAGAAATTTCACGGTGAGAAGCCGGGGCTGTTTGGGGACGCAAGAGGGAGTCCTCGGGGTGGGGGGTGGAGACGTGTGATGAGCGCAGCTTGGTTGGCCGACCAGCCCTGCCGATACCCCGCTCAAGGCAAGCCGGCAGCGCCCTTGGCTTAAGAAAGGGGAGCTTGTGTTTCCAGACCTGCCCACTAGAGTGTGGCAGCGGCCCGTGTAGTGGAGAGAGGGTGCCGCACGAAGAGTGCTCCTGCCAGCCAACTCATGGGAGCAGCAGGGGTTGCTCTCACAACCTCCTTCCTCCGTGCCTGTCCGCCCTGCCCTGCTGAGGGTGCACACCCTGCACTCACAGGATCGGGAGAGGCTGTAGGATCTTGATCTCTTTAACACTCTCTCCCCCCCAAAAAAAACACCGGCCTTTTCTTTTGGGAGCCGTTGAATAGGGGCAATTTCTTCTTTTCTTCTTTCTTTTCACCCACACTGGGCTGCCTCTGCAGCTCTTGCAAATGGGAATAATTGCCGTTATTTTCAAATAAATGACTTCCTGCTTCATTTGAGAGGAGATGAAGGGTTTCATTTGTATTTTTTTTTTAAAGCCTGTGTGTGCTCTGAGTGTTCTTGGCAGGCTCTGTGGCCACTGGAGCGACCAACATTTGGAAGGGCTGGTCTCTGTGCAGAAGGGGAGGTAGCTTTGCATGTAATCCGGAAAGCACATTGCGAGTCAGGCAGGACCTGGATATTTTTTGTGCTTTGGTGTCTGAAGCTCCTGGAGATTCTCCCTTGCATACCATCTAGGAGGCAGTTGATGTTCTCTAGAGGGAGGGTGGTTTTCCTATAGCCAGTCTTCTCAAATTACAAATACTTATTTGTATGTTTTACTAATGATGGAAGATGGGAAAGTTACTTTCTGGATGCTGTCCTTCAAAATCTCTAGCAGACGTGGCCACTGGGGTCTTAAAAAAGAAAGACAAGGGGGAAAGGCAAGTCAGAAAAATAACAGGATGTGGAACCCAGTGGGCTCCAAAGCCTACCAGCAGCAATTCGGTCCTAACCATTCCTGGAATCCTAACTCAGCCAGCTTCTTGTTTCTTCCAGTTCAGAATCTGGGCCGTCCTTACTGGCTGACGCTTTCCCCCATGTATATCTGGATCCTGATTTTCTTCAGCCAGCCCCACAAAGAGGAGAGGTTTCTGTATCCCGTCTACCCCCTCATTTGTCTCTGTGGGGCCGTGGGACTCTCCGCCTTGCAGGTACGTTTCACAGAGGGGTCCAGCGGTGGGAGGAAGAGGGCAGGTAGAGAGGAAACTGGCATTTCTGGAGGATCCCACGCGACCCTTGAGCCAAAGCCATCTCCTTTGGTATGGCTTGTCGGGTGGCAGTTCCTGAGTGGAGCATTCTGGGGTAGCCTTGAGGACTAGAAACTTTGGAAAGGAAGAAAAAGATGCCCAGAGGGCCAAAGTTGCCCACGCCTGTTTATCAACAGACCTCCATCCTTGTTTTGTTACTCTGAGAACCAAAGAGTCTCCCTAGCCAGCCGTGCACAAGCAACTCTGGCTTCTCCTGTTCTCAGTCATGCGCTGTTGCCCTGGGCTGAAAGATGGTACGCTGTGGAAGCGTATCAAAACACACACACACACACACACACACAGTTGGCACTACTACAGTCTGGGCTGAAAGATGGTACGCTGTGGAAGCATATCAAAACACACACACACACACACACCGCGGTGGACAGTTGGCACTACAACAGTCCCAACTCCTTTCACTCCCAGCCACCATGAAGTAAGCGCTGACATTTCACATGGATTCAGACAAGCTGGTGGTGCCGGTGGTGACTTGAGATGACCAAATGTTTTGACAAACCACAGTCAAGTTGCTAGTCCTTAATCCTTAGGAATGGTTCACATTTGACATTTTTCCTATGTGGTAATAATTTTTTTAATTTAAAAAAACCCTATACATTATCCATTTTGAAAGGTGTGCATTTGTTTTATCACCATTGTGTTTGCATGGAAAACATTATAACTCCTTGGTATCTGTCTGTTCTTGGCACAGCAGAAGCTCGTATAATTCCCCTATCACCAATATCAGGGTGCACACGTCTCGTGTAGCCCCTTTCCTAAAAGGTCACGTGTGGATCCATCACTGGCGATGTTTGGCCTGAACCCACATCGTTCATTAATCAGAGTGCCCTCAAGCCCAGCCTGTTCTGTTTCACTCTAAATGATGCAGGCTTGTTCCTCTTTTTTCCCCTTGCCTTCCCTTTTTAGAAATGCTACCATTTCGTATTCCAGCGTTACCGCCTGGAGCACTACACGGTCTCGTCTAACTGGCTCGCCCTGGGCACCGTCTTTGCTTTCGGACTTCTGTCCTTATCGCGTTCCGTGGCTTTATTCAGAGGTTGGTGACGCAGAAGGAGGTCCTCCGGTCGCTTGCCCACAGGCTAAGGAGCAAATGTCTCACAGAGGTCATCTCATCCTCCAGAAGGATCCCTCGGGTGAACCGGGGCTGCTCGGCCGTTTGCGGTTCAAATAGCAGCCAGTTCCTTTGGAGCATTTTTTCGGTTGCCGAAATATAGACTCCCTCATAATTATTTTCCCCCAAGGTTGAAGGGCTTACGGTTGGGGTTGCTGCTCCTAAAATTCCCCAGCCGGTATGGCCAGTGGGTGGCAGCCTCCCAGGGTTTGCAGTTTTTAAAAAAGGAGATTCTCTTGACTGGATAGCTAGGTAGAATAATGGTCTGGCTCCACGTGAAGCAGACACCTAAGCAAAAGTGTCAGGTCATTTTTCCATTGGATGGGGCCTGACGTGGTTTGCCTCTCACCAATGGAGGGGGCTTGGTGTGGACAATTTTGGGACCTCATTACAGTCCAAGGAAGCTTGTGATGACCTTGAAAGTTCAGCTAGGGTTCTTGACATCCAGATCTCCTGCTGGGTATCCTCCCTTCTTTTTACATGCAGCCTTTCTTCCTCGTAGGCTACCATGGGCCTCTGGACCTGTACCCCGAATTTCACAGAATCGCCACCGATCCCATGATCCACACAGTGCCCGAGGGGAGGCCGGTTCACGTCTGTGTCGGGAAGGAATGGTATCGTTTTCCTAGCAGCTTCCTCCTGCCTGACAAGTAAGTGCCTTGTTGGGACACAAATTGGTCCGTCCCCCCCGTTGATGTGGTAGGAGTTCTTCCAGCTCGCAAACACAGAGGGGTTCATGCACATGTGTGCCCACTTGCATCCGGCCACCGAGGTGTCAGAAAAGCAGGTGGCACTGCTCTCCTTGCCCTCAGGTCAGAGAGAGTTCACCATTCCGGTGAATTTATCTGGGAGCCGACCGGTTGAAGGGCAGAGAAAGGCCAGCTTACCCTTGCCTAGGACAGAGGTTGGCCGCTCGTGTTCGCTTTGCCGGCCGTTCACGACCAGTGCTGGTTTTCCAGCTGCAGGGGCTTCGTTCTCCCTGTGCCCACACGGCCGGTGGCACCACCGGCACATTTTAGGCCCCTGCAAGGAAATGAGGGAGGCATAGAGGTTGGCAGGATGGCCAGGGGAAAGGATGGAACAGGGTGGGAGGATGTGTCATTTCTTCCCCCCCTCTGACATCCTTTACCCGCCGTAGTGAAGAGTGATGGGCCTTGCCATCCGCCAGCATCTGGAACCCACCGCATCTCCCGTGAACTGCCAGCCAGAACAGCTGCAGCCGTGGCATTTCCCCTCTTCCTGACAGAAAGGCGGTTTGTTCTTGTGCTCTCTGGGACGCCCTCCTTCTCTCACTCACCCACCTCCCCTGACTGGTCTCGGCAGCACATGTGCCAGCCCTTCAAGTTTTGCAGCCCTCTGTCATCAGGGCGAAAGGCCTCGGACTTGTCACGTGAAGAACCCTAAAGAGCTAATTTGCTCTCAGGCTTGCAAAAGTGCACCCCCGATTTTCCCATTAAGAGGACAAGTCGGGACTTCCGTAAGCCCGTCCCTTGTTCCACTGAGGTCCACGACAGACCATCAGGATCTGTGCTCTGGGGGGGGGGGCTTACCTTCCCCAAACTACTGCCTGCCTGTCTCATTTCGTTGCAGGAGAAAAAGCTCGCGGGGTCTCTTTTCTGTCCCTTTCTCTCCTGCAGTTGGCAGCTTCAGTTCATTCCTTCCGAATTCAGGGGCCAGTTGCCAAAACCTTATGCCAGGGGACCAGCGGCCACACGCCTCGTTCCGACAGACATGAATGACCAAAACCGGGAAGAGCCGTCCAGATACGTAAGCACCACTCTCTTCACTTGATCCGGCACCGACATCGCTCCCCTGTCGGATGCTGCAAAACAAGAACACTCTTGATCTCGATGGTGGCGGGGACTTGAAGATCCTTGTCGGACAGGCGGCAACTTTCTCTCTGCCTTTTTCATGTACGGCAGCCCCTAGGAGAGGGCAGCCCGTTCACTAGCACTGAAAGTTCTTGCAATTTGAACCCAAAACGTTGCTTGTGACATCAGCAGTGTGAGGTCCGGGTGCTGGTTTATGCGTTGCCACCCCTGGGCCCCCAAAGTGGGTGGCGAGACCCTGGGGCCCTTTCGCTGCAGAAAAGCACCCCCGGGGGTTGTCCTTGCCGATGGCCTGGATTGTGCCCTGGGCGCTGTGTCTGGGAAGGAAAAGGAGCAGGGCACCCACTCACCCTGCCCTCTCTTCCTGCAGTTTGACATTTCCAAGTGCCACTACCTGGTGGATTTAGACACCCCGACCAAAACGCCCAGGGAGCCCAGGTACGCTGCCAGCAAAGACGAGTGGATCATGATCACTTACAAGCCTTTCCTGGACAAATCACGGTAAGAGAGGGAGATCGGGGGGAGGGGGGAACACAGTCACTTCTCTGTTACTTATGGGTTGGGTTTGTTTTAAGGAAGACAGAGCAGGATGGCGAATAGATTCCCTTTAGAACAAGCATGTCATCGCCGAGTGTGTGGGCAGATGGGAAGAGAAGCCGGCGCAGCCAGCATGTCCCAGAGAAGGGAGGTGGTGGTGGAGGAAGTTGCGCAAATTGGCCACCGGCTTGCCCAAGCACCAGATTGTCAGCTCCAGAAGAAGGCAGGAGGGCTGAGCTTGGGGCTGGCGCCGAGGAGGGGTGCTTTTGGCTGCTGCTGCAGTGGGAAGCCCACTGCACCCACCCTTCCAAGAAATCGGTGGGTGTCTTGGGTGTGATCTCTCCAGTCGGCCTGAGAGCGAGCAACCGGCTCAGCTGCTGCTAGTTCAGGGGCCCATCGGAGTGCAAAGACTTTCCTCTTTTGCTTTCCAGGAAGGGAGAGAGCCAAGCTGCAGGGGTGCCTAGGGCTCCCACTTTCCCTTCTGCACATGCTCAGAGGAAATCCTCTCCTCGTTTCTCCACATTTCCCAGAGAAGAAGGGGTTTGCTCTTGGAGGGAGGGGCAGGGGCTCACGCCTGATGTAAGTCCAGAGCCCAAATATTGGTAGACGCAAACATGAACCAGCTCTCCCATTTCGCGTCGTCTTTTCTGTGCCTTTCTTTTTATAGGGTGTTTGTGGGTGGTGGTGCTGGGGAGAAGAGGTCCTCCACTGCTGCCTTTCTAGCAGAAGCAGCTGCTCCCTCCTGTTCCTGCTTCAGAGGGAGAAGCCAAGGGGCGTGCTGGGTTTTGACAGCCTCCTCCGCGTTCAGGCAGCTGCGTCCTTTGATCCGAACTATTTTCATCCCAACGGAGCCAAATGGGGAAGAAACACGACCCTCGAGAGCCACTGGCTATTTCCAGAGATGAGCCTCGGACTGGGGAGGGGAGGCCCCCGGGGCCACTGGCCCCTCCGGCCCTGCTGCGCTGCCGGCTCCGAAGGCCAAGAGCCCTTGAGGGGAGGGCAGCTGGGTCTGTACGGCATCCAGGAGGGCGCAGAAGCATTGCCTCGTTGCCGTTAAGACACAGATAGGCATCTGTTGTGTTCCTGTGCAAACGAGGGGGCTTGAAGAGCCCCAGCTTTCCACATACGTAGCATGCTGGCGCTGTTTGCTTTTTCTTTTTGGTTAAAGCTTTGGGACCGGAAGGAAGGAGAGGCCTGAGAGTGGCGCTAGAGAGCCAGTGGGAGGAGGTGGCCAGTCAGAAAACACGCACGCATGCGCACACACACACACAGCCCTTTATCCTCCCTGCAACGGCTGCTGCTCCGGGAGGCTGGAGTGACCCTGGCTGCCGCATTCATGCTCGCTGAACCGGAGGCTTCTGGGAGAGGCCAAATCCCCCACTGACGTCAGCGAGGGCCTCAGCAACTCTCCGTGGGCCCTGATAAACGATGCTGCTAATTGAATTAGAGAGCACTCAGAGCCGTCGACTAATTATGCCACTCAGGTGGCGGCTTTGTCCGGGGCCATTTAATTCTGCCTTGGCTGAGCCCTCCAGTCCCGACGGAGGAAGGGGGAAGAGGGCGGACGAGGGCCTTCCTGCTGGAGGGGCAGAGGCCCACACCAGCCCCCAGGAGGGCCAGTCTCTCCCCCTCCCTCTTGCCACTGCCCCCCCGCCTTCTCATAACTGATGCTCAGCTCTTCGCTGTCCCAGAACTTCTTGAGGGCAAGGCGCATGCCGAGGCCAAGTCCCCTCACTGCGGGAGAAGAGATGGTCTTGATGTTTTCATTTCCACACTTCCCTTCTTCTTCATGGAGAACAGGGGGAGCCTCGGCATCGGTAAAGAGTGGCAAATGTACAAGCAGACAGGAAACTCGGGACCATTCAGATTTTCCTCACGCCGTCTCTTCCACTTGCGTGGCTGGGACTGATGGGACTTGTAGTCTAGCAACACTGGGAGGATCACCAGTGGCTGGCTCTTGATTTATAGTGATGAATCACACTTTTTTTTTTATTGTATATTTTCTCCTCGGTTCTCCAGGTCTTCCAAGCTGTTCCGAGCCTTCTACATCCCCTTCCTGTCCGACCAGCACACGACCTACACCAACTACACCATCCTCAAGCCGCGGCGGCCAAAGCAAGCCAGGAAAAAAACGGGTAGCTAGAGAGTCTCCCGGAAGGGACCCAAAGCTCAACAGCCCGGCGGCGTTCTCGTCTTCTCCGGGTTCCTTTAACCCACCCCCCATTTTTTTGTCACTCCATCCCCGGGTTGGGGTGGAGCGGATGGATTTGAACAAAACGATTACTCATGAAGGTTTCCACTTCGGGCTGACTGTCGTGCACAAGATGGAGGAGGCCTGATCTGCCCGTTTGGAGGTCTGCCCTTCGGCTCTCAGAAAGTCTTCTGGGAAAAGGGTGCGAGGAGAGGCATCATCTCTTGCTGCGTCAAAGGGGAGGAGAGGCTCGGCTTTGTGAAACACGATCCAGTTGCTTGCTAGAGTTTGGCTACAGGACAGCGCAGAGCTTGGGGTTCAAGACACCCCCCCCTCCATTGCAGAACATCCTGCCTGCCCAGGCAGGACAGCGCAGAGCTTGGGGTTCAAGACCCCCCCCTCCATTGAAGAACATCCTGCCTGCCCAGGGAGGGGGGGAAGAGGTGTGTTTTCTTGTGGGTTCCTGTTCTGCCCCCCCCCCGAGGTCTTTAGGAAAGAGAGTGCCGATTGGGTGCCAGTGGGAACGCCAGAGTCCGTGGGGTGGGAGTTGGGGTGGAGAACGGCCCTCGTTGGCTCCAAGCCAGCCAGAGTCACTTGCACTTTCCAAAGCTGTGACCGTGTTAAATCCGTAATCGAGTGAAAGGTGACTTTGTTCAAGTAGGTTTCATTTCAGAGACGCCCCCTCCCCATCCTCCTCCCCGTCAGTTGCTGGAAAAACCCAGCTTGGGAGGTGTTTCCTTTGGACTCTTCTCCACACGCCATGTTCTTTGTGCAATGCCCACCCTTGTCGTGTCTCTCCGTTTGCAAAAAGACAGAAAAAGGAGTGTTCCTTTTTCCCCCTTGCATACCCTTCGCTGTGGAATACATTCGGGTCTCCTCCAGTCTGTCCTGCACTGTGAGACGGTCTTTACTATTTATTAAAACCTAGGCTTTGGCCTCTTCCGAGACATATTGCATGTTGAGTAGCTGGGAGGCAGAAGGCAACAGTTTTTGCAAGGACATCCATTCATTGGTTCCTTCGATCAGCCGGCTGGCCAGCAAGCCTCCATCCCTCCTTTCCCTTCTTCCTCTCTGTAGAGAATATGCATGTGTGTTTAATTAGGCAGTGCAGTTCTTCTGCTTTCAAGTAGTGAAAAGAAGGCCAGCATATTCTTGTTAGAGTCTACCCGAAACTGAATTTTCTCTCTCCTGTATTCTGCTCATGAGGCTTTGCTGGTTCCTTTTGTTCGTTGTCCTTGGTGGATCGGTTGAAGATCACAGATGGGAGGAGAGCAAGAGGCTGGACACCAGCTTGGGCAGAAATCAGAAACCACTGAGGCTGCCTGTCTGAGATCTATAATGCAGACTTGATTTTGCTGATGTTTTCAATCAACAAAAGCCTTCAAGGAAGGGACCTAGCAGTACTAACAAGTATGCAAGCAACCCTTTTGCAGCCACCGCCACTCCCCATGTCGCCCTTACTCGTGTCCCCAGACAAGATCCCCTGCTTTTTTGGACAGTTGGCTCAGCAGAAGGCAGCAGTGCAGCTTTCCTGACTGACCGAATCAGAGGCTGGTTAGATTTACAGACAGTTTGATGTTCCTTTCTCAGCAGAACGCTCCCCCCCCAACTCTCTGGGGTAGATGCCCTTGGCATCTTATGTCCTGCTGTTCCTCCACTCTGCTCAGCACAGCCAGGAGGGCTCCCGCGGGTGCTCTGGCATGGACATCTACAGCCGCTGGGAGTCTTGCCAGTCACGACATTGCCAGCAAGCTGGTTTATGCAACGCAAGATGAATCATGCCAACCAGAAGCTTGGAGACTATTATTAGATTTAGGAAACTGCTGCTTCAAGACAGGATTTGCTGATGCATTTCGGTTACTCCTTGCCACCGCGCCTGCCTGGGAGACGCTGGCATGGTCAGGCCTAATAAAGAGGGTCGTCGTTTCCAAGGAATTCCTGGGCTGTTGCCGAAACCCCTAACCTCCTGCTTCTGATGCAGAACTGCTCTCTTGGCCTCGCTATTCATATCAGCTGCTATGATCTGCTGGAAGCGAAAAGCTGACACTGCATGTTTCCAGCATAGCTCTTCAGCGAACGGCACTCCAGCGTCAGGATGTATCATGCGAACTGCCTACTAATGCTCCCACCACTGAGGCAGGATGCCAACTTTCCCTTCTGTGCATGTCATTTCCTAAGCGACCCTCTCCCGCACCACTTGCTCATTTTCTTCCAGTACAAGGACACCTGAGGGGCTTCTTCCATGTTGCAGTTAGAGCATCGGGTAAAGAATGTTGCTTTCCTCTAGGTGTTGTGAGACTCCGGATCCCATCAGGCTCAGCAGCCATTAGCGAGGATCCATGGGAGCTGCAGACCACCATCAGCTAGAGAAGTTACCCCCCACATCTCTGAGCGAAAGGTCTCAAATACTGTTGACAACAGGTGCAGTAAATTATCAAGCATCTGACACGCTAACCCAATACCCTATAACTCTTTAGAAAGACAAGAGAGCTCTGAAAGATACATGAGTGGCATGAAAAGGTATCAGGGCTCCTTGGATAACAGTGGGATGTGGTTAGATGATGGGCTGTTATTGCTACACGCCACATGCCTGTGTCAGAGAGTAAATTGTAGAAACTGCAAAATGTCTATCTGGTTCATACAAGAAATAACCCTTTTGGAGATAAATGCCAGCTGTGACTAACACAGGCTTCTGGTTTTTCCTAGAGGTTCTGTAGGGTTAAGGAGGTGTTCACATGTCAGACTTTCCGATCTTACAATTCATTTCACCCGCTAGGCTACTGTTACGGGCATTGCATGGCGTGTGTGTGCAGCTGTCTGTGTAAAAACACCCAGATTGCTCTAGAGATCTGTTGTCTCCCAGAACAGAGTTTTGTTCACTTTTTAGGGGCTGCTTCCTTCCTTTTCTTTTGCTTGCGTTACGTTTCAGTCCCTAACAAAGTTCCAGCTTAGCAACACCCCCAGCAGGTAATTACCCCCAGCAATATAGAGTAACTATATTGTTGACCAGTTTAAATAGGCTGCAGAATCCCTTGGAGAATTTTTTCCCCAGACTGTGTTGCTTCAGGTTGTGCACTGGATTCATGTTTGAATTTTCCCTGGTAATAAAACAAACCCCCAACTTTGTTTGAGTAGAAGAACATGCCTGTCTATCGGGAGGGAAGATTCACCACTGCCTTCTTCTTCAACCTCCCTCCCCCATGTCTGTCCTCAAGTCTGACCCCCTCTCTCCAATACAGCCACATTCACCTATACAAAAACTCGCACCTTCAAAGTCTAGGGAAGCTGCGGCTTCGCTCCTTAGGCTGGAAGCAGCACCCTGGGGTATCAGAAGAAGTAGAAACAAATCTTCTGTATTCATTGTTTGACTTGTAAGGACCCAGCTGAGGAGGGAGAGGTCTGTCTTGAAAAAGGGTTGTTGCATTGTTAAATTTCTTAGCCAGTAGCATTTCACTGCTGTCATAGTTTAATGTGGCTATCTGTGTAGAAGAGAAACGAATACATGTCAATTAAAAAGAATATGCCACAAGAGGGTTAAGCATTAAGGTGTCAGAAGATGCCCTCTTGCACTTTTGTGGTCGTGTGAATAAGCCTTTCAGACTCCACACGTAGTTCTTGCAGGCGAAATCGAGCATTCAGAAGTAACCGTGCTGCCATTGGCCCCAAGTGACTTCTCCAAATGCTTTTGGTGGCAGCTTCCAGCAGCCGGAGAGAAGGCGCGCCAATGGGTGCAACCCAACGATCTCCAGTGGCTCACACTTGGTTCAGCTCTGGTTTAAGAGAGACACCCAGACAGTAAAAGAATGGCCATTAATTATTTCTTGGGGCTGCCTGGCCATTTCTGGTTCAGGCATTTCCAGAAATGTCCTGCCTTTTTGTGCAAAGAGCCCAGATCTCCTGTGGTGCAGAAGGCTCAAGCGTTTGGGGTCCCTTTCCCAGAAACCTTAACACCTCTTGTTGGATTAACCAACAGGGAATGAGTCTGTCCCCCACAACCACCCCCCTGTTGTGAATGTTGACAGCGATGGCTTTCTAAACAAGCCGTGGCGAAGGCAGAGATGCTGGGGCAGCCTTCCAAGCGAGTAGAACCACCCGTCAAAACAAGCGCCAGCCGGCGAGGAACCATTTGCTAACAGCTTGTGCCGAAGAGCAAATATTGATGAGCGACTGAAGGAAGTTTTCCCTCTGGCCCCTTCCTGTTCCAGGCAGGTTTCTGGCACTCGGGACCAGCTCTCCTCCTGAGAAGGGCAGGACGGCAGTCGAGAGCAGTGGGAGAAAGCGGAGGGCAGGCGGGCAGGGGGCCAAGCCTGCAGAACTGGCAAAGGCGGCCCCATGCCAGCCTTACCCCTCGGCTGGCCAAGGTTTCTCAGTGGATCCGTTGGCCCCAAACTGCTCGATGGCCTTCTTGGTGGGTCAGGCAAACTTGTTTTGGGGAAGTGTGGGGTTGGTTCGAGGACGTTTCCTCCATGGGGTGAAAAACAGCGCTAGCCTTGGTCAGCCTAAAGGCTGTTTGGATCAGGCAAAAAGCCCAAGAATTTTTTTTTTCAAAGGTTGCGGCACCTCAAACTGCAATATTTTAATGTGAGCTTTCGTGGGTCAAGTCCACGTCCTCCACCCCGATCAGGGCGGTTGTGATGCCTACTCCCTATTCCTGACCCCCTGGGAGGTGTGAAGCTGCTCACCCGGGGGGGGGTGTGTGTCCGGGCCTGAGGCTTAGGCGCAGCCTCTCTGCTGGAACGGTTTCGAGTTCTGCTGTTGAACCCGTGCCAGTCCAGAAAGATTGCAGGAAGAGGAACGAGGGATGCGCTTCATCTTCAAAATCGTCTCCACCCTTCTGAGCTCAGCAGTTCCAAAGCATCTGGAGGGGTCACTGGGGCCAACGGCAGCACGGTCCTGCGGCTGAGGATCCGGCCCCTTCGGCTTACAGGCCCCTCTCCGGGACCACCTCTCCCCTCGCCTACCGTCAGGTCATCCTCAAAGCTCACCTTGAGTCCGTTTGTTGTTTGTCTCACATGTCTTTATACACCTTCCCGCACGCACGCACACCCCATCCTAACCCTGCTGAAACCCAGCTGCTTTTTTCCAGAGCCAGGAGACCTGGCCTGAGCTGGCCTCGGCACCGGGCAGGCTGGGCAGGGCCGGTCTACGGGATGCTTCTCTGGGTAAACAGGGACAGTGGCATCAGGGGACGCCGAAGGCAGCTTCTCCGGGGAGCCTCTTGACTCGTGCTTGGTTTTGGCTTCAGCCCAGGGCCAACCTCAGTCGGCGTGCAGAAGGCTTTGTTTGCTTTTGAGTCCTCGTCCGAGGGCAGGCAAAGGGGTTGCTCTGGCACCACACCCCCACCAACATCTGCCGGAGAAAA